AAACAAATAGGATATAAACTCAAATCCTTCATTATATAAAAAGGATATCATCTCAAATCCTTCAATATACAAATAGGATATCAACTCAAATCCTACAATATACAATTAGGATATCGTTTCAAATCCTTCAATATGCAATGGGATATCGTTTCAAATTCTTCCATATGCAAATAGGATATCATCTCAAAGCCTTTAATATACAAAAAGGATATCTTCTCAAATTCTTCAATATACAAAATAAGATATTAACTTAAGTCCTTCAATACAAAAATAGGATATCAACTTAAATCCTTTAAAATACAAATAGGTTATAAACTCAAATACTTTCAAATGAAAATAGGATATCAACTCAAATCCTTCAATATACAAATAGGATATCATCTCAAATCCTTCAATATACAAATAGGATATCAACTCAAATCCTTTAAAATACAAATAGGATATCAACTCATACAAATAGGATATCAACTCAAATCCTTCAATATACAAATAGAATATCAACTCAAATCCTTTAATATCAAGTCAGATCCTTTATTTTTCAATACATTTAGGATATCATCTCAAATCCTTCAATGTTGGGTTAGAAAAAACTTAAAAGGAATGCCGTTTTGGTTTGACCCTGCTAAGTTGAAACTTTTGAGGGAAAATTCAGATTTTCAGGGGAAATATTAGACTTGACAGTTTTCACATAGGGGACAAACACCAAGAGTTTTAAATTAGCATCAAATATCAACATGTCTGTATTTTTTAAACACTTTCATTTAAAATCACTAAACTAGCAGCCCCTCCTCTCACACCAAGGTGGAAAATTAGTCGTGGTATGTAAAATTAAACTTTTTGAATAAATATACTTTTTACAATCAAAAGGTTTAATGTGTTCCCCTTGGTTCCGAAACAAGGAGGTCCTTAATCCCAGTCTGTTTCTATCTAGCTATTTATCTAACCTTTGTTGCCAATATTCCACTCGATTGATTTTTTAAATATATATCTCGCACTATAGCATCTGTTTCAGTAACTCTATATCTAGACTACAATCCAGTCTGGATAGAGTAGAGTAGAGTAGAGTAGAGTAGAGTAGAGTAGAGTAGAGTAGAGTAGAGTAGAGTAGAGTAGAGTAGAGTAGAGTAGAGTAGAGTAGAGTAGAGTAGAGTAGAGTAGAGTAGAGTAGAGTAGAGTAGAGTAGAGTAGAGTAGAGTAGAGTAGAGTAGAGTAGAGTAGAGTAGAGTAGAGTAGAGTAGAGTAGAGTAGAGTAGAGTAGAGTAGAGTAGAGTAGAGTAGAGTAGAGTAGAGTAGAGTAGAGTAGAGTAGAGTAGAGTAGAGTAGAGTAGAGTAGAGTAGAGTAGAGTAGAGTAGAGTAGAGTAGAGTAGAGTAGAGTAGAGTAGAGTAGAGTAGAGTAGAGTAGAGTAGAGTAGAGTAGAGTAGAGTAGAGTANAGAAGAACATGTGGTGAATTGGAAAATCTTGAAATAATCTTTAAATTTGACCGACATTCGTCTCTCCTCCTCCTTTATCTATCTATCTTCGATCTCATCTTTTATTCTCTTTCAGAACTCCTTTCTCTCTCCTCCAAATTCCCTCATACTTCTCTATTTCTTCTATCCTTCTCCCCTGTACTCTTAAATCCTCAATATCTCTCCAGGCCTCCCTCCCCCCTTCCTTGTTCTCCCCTCCCTCTGCAGTCTAAATAAACCCTGGTTTTTATATTGCAATTCCATTTTTAAACCTCAATCTTGAAGATTTGCAAAAACAGATTAAATTTTGACTTTTCAAACTAGTTTCTCTATCTATCTTTGCTTCTTTCATTGTTGCACTCTTTGTTTTCATTCTTTACAGTTTTTTTAATGTTTTATATATATTATTTATATCTATAGAGTTTAAACTAGGATCTAATTGAGAAATAGTATTGTACGAACATATAGTAGGTTGTTGTTCAATATTCAATAAAGAGTAGGTACTAGGATCAGAAAATATTAAGTATACAAAACAAAGAGTATGGAATTATTAAAAACAAAAAAGTTTTATAAATAGAGTAATGTCAATGAAACTGCTTCAACGTTTATAATATCGACGTATTGCAATTAATAATATTTGTATTATGATTAATATGATTCCTGTTTTCATGTTCAATATATATATATCAGCAAACCAACCAATGTTTATCTGTTTTCATGTTCAATATATATATATATCAGCAAACAAACCTATGTTTATCTGTTTTTATGTTCAATATATATATATCAGCAAACCAACCAATTTTTATCTGTTTTTATGTTCAATATATATATATCAGCAAACAAACCAATGTTTATCTGTTTTCATGTTCAATATATATATATATCAGCAAACCAACCAATGTTTATCTTTTTTTATGTTCAATATATATATCAGCAAACCAACCAATGTTTATCTGTTTTTATGTTCAACATATATATATACAGCAGCAAACCAACCAATTTTTATCTGTTTTCATGTTCAATATATATAACAGCAAACCAACCAATGTTTATCTGTTTTCATGTTCAATATATATATCAGCAAGCCAACCAATTTTTATCTGTTTTTATGTTCAATATATATAACAGCAAACCAACCAATGTTTATCTGTTTTCATGTTCAATATATATAACAGCAAACCAACCAATTTTTATCTGTTTTTATGTTCAATATATATATATATATAAGCAAACCAACCAATTTTTATCTGTTTTTATGTTCAACATATATATATAGCAGCAAACCAACCAATGTTTATCTGTTTTTATGTTCAATATATATATCAGCAAACCAACCAATGTTTATCTGTTTTTGTATATTTGTGCAGAGAACATCCTTTTCCATGTTTCTGCTGTATCTGTATCTGCGTCTCAGTATTATGCCCTGGACCGGATATTCTGGTGTGTTGACCCCAGTGTGTTGACTTTAAACATTATAATTCAACTAAACCGGGTTTAGAGACAAATTAGCAGATGTCAATATTAACACCTTTTATCCTTGGGCATCTCAGAATTACAATTATAGATTTTTATCAACATTGTCAGTTTTTAATCTGAATAATTTGTTGAAGATTGGTTTCGTTCTGTTTGTAAAGTTTCCTTCTCCTGATCTGTAGGTTCTATTAGAGCGGTCTAGATAATATAATTATACGAATGAGACATAATTAATCGTATAATTACCTTCTTGGGTCTACGCACGTTCGTTGCAATTTTTGTTTAAATTCCCTCCATCCCCTCCCCCCCCCATCCCCCTTTTTTACTCGTATTTATAAATCTTTCCTGAAAAGAAAAAAATACGATTTAAGAACAAGTTGGCCGTACCATGGGCAGCCCTAGTACATTAGAATATGCGAGCCGGGTCAACCTTTCCTGTCCCAGTTTAAACTGTATCGCCAGGACATTGGGTAAATAAATCAGACACTCAATAGGACTAGCCGGTGCAACAAGGTGGACGCGGTCAGACTTTATGCTAAATTCACTCTTACTGTAGGGTCAGAGGTACGTGGTACGTTTATAATGATTTAATTCTATTCCTTCTCTTCAAAGATTGGTTTAATTCTGTGCTTATATAAATTTCTTTTTAGAATATTCTTCTTTTTTCTTTTTTTCTGTCCTTTTCTAAAATATTCTACACAGAAGCTTTTTTATTCTATATAAAGTATAAGGTGCCTTCTAGATGCTGTCCTATTCTATCTAAAGTATAAGGTGCACTTCTAGATGCTGTCCTATTCTATCTAAAGTATAAGGTGCACTTCTAGATGCTGTCCTATTCTATCTAAAGAATAACGTGCACTTCTAGATACTGTCCTATTCTATGCATATAAAAAGTTTTTCTATTCTTTTAGGAACTATCCTATTCTATCTTAAAAAAACATTTTCCTACTTTGCACAGAAGCTATCCTAATCTATCTAAAATTTTATCCTATCAGAACCTGTTCTATTTTATTTCAAAGCTATATGAAGAATATTTTTTTTTAAAACATATCCAAGAAAATCTAAAAACTTGAGATTTCTTGATACAAGTTCAAATCCCGCAACCTTTTATCCATCCAGTCATGTTCCCATTCTTTACTCCTCTACTCCCTCCTCCCATCTTCCCATTTATCTATCCTATCCTCCTACCTATCATCTTCCTATTGCTTCTTATTCTCATTTTCCAATTCCTCCCTCTCATCCCTACTCTCATCTTCCCATTCCTCCCTAATTTCATCTTCCCATTCGCCTCTCATCCACCCTCTCATCCCTTCTCTTCTCTTCCGATTACTCCTCCTATCCTCTTCCAATTCTTTCCTCCTCTCCTCCATTTCTCTCCTCTCCTCCTCTCCTCCTCCTTCTTCCACTCCTTCCTTGCCCTCTTTTTCCATTATTCCCTCTTCCCTTCTCCGTCCTCTCCTCTTCTACTTCTCCTCCTCCCTTCCTCCTCCTCCTCCTCCTCCTCCTTCTCCTCCTCCTTCTCCTTCTCCTTCTCCTCCTCCTCCTGTTATATGTACTGTATACCCCTGAGCATTATTTAAAGCCTAAAGATTCTACTCCAAGGTTATTAAAGTACTTTTTTCACAGAAAAACAGCGAAGCTTATATAATATGTGTGTTCTAAAAAGACGGTCCGGTCCGGTCCGTTCCGTACTAAAAAAATCGACCTATTCAAGTCCCGTGGGAGAATTTTCAATCCATGGTATATCTAATGTTTCCCCTTATAAAGTGCTGAGTCCTATGTAGGCTCCATATATGGGGTTTATATTTTGTCAAAGCATGGGGAAACTGTGAAACTGCCCCTGGTTTGCAAGCATGGGCTTGTTCTATAGATATAAAGGATGTTGCCCCCCCCCCCAGCCCCTGTCCTTGGGAGAGCAGACCGCCCCCCTTCTCATACTCCGTGCCTTCCACTGCGGTGTAGACTTGCCTGTGATTGGGTGGAAGTACTCCAATACTTGTTTCTGATTGGTAGAAACTCCCAGGTGCTGTGTGTGTATCGTCCGTGTAGAACTGTATGGAATATGGATGAAGTTTAGTTGGTGTTTGCAAGCTGAATAGTAAAGACGGAGAGATGTGTACCTCTCTCTCTGGTTACAGAGCTCTTACAGAATCAAGATTTGGTAGTTTTAAAATTGACAAAACTTCACCTACTCCCTACTCCGATGCGACCAAGGTAATTATCAATATATCAATTGCGTCAACATTCATATCTTTGTGAAATTTGCGTATACATGCGTATTTGTACTGTGCGTACACTGACATTTCATCTCTAGGCCCATAGTTCATTGACATTGAAGTCTGTTATCAAACTAATTTTCGTCTTATTTCAGACGTGTCATGATTCCAATAGGATCAAGAGGCCTATGAACGCATTCATGGTCTTCTCCCATTACCAGAGAAGAAAGATTGTTGAGAATCAGCCTGATATTCACAACGCCGAGATCTCTAAAAGGTTGGGACGGGAGTGGAAAGAGATGATGGATTACGAGAAGCTCCCCTATATCCAAGAAGCTGAGAAACTCCGAACCCTGCATCTACAGGAGTATCCAGGATATAAGTATCAACCAAAGAAGAAACCCAAAGCATCCAATTCACCCAAATCCTTCCTTGAAAGTCAGATGAAAAGTGCAGTGATTAAACCAACCCGTCCTGGAACAGTTTTCAGACTAAACAATATGTTTGGAAGTAATTCTTGGGTTAATCAAAGGATTCCTCTATCAACTCGAACCCAACCCATCAATACATCCAATCTTAAACTCAAGTTCACCATTGACAGTAAGTTTAAGGCAAAGATGGCAAAGAATCAGAACAGACTGATACCCATGTCCAGATTGGTGAGCGAACCTTCTTCAACATGCTCAACACCCTCTCCGACAAGTTCAACACCTTCTCCAGGTGTACCAAGAACCCCTGAGCTGCCTGCTTCTCCAGATTCAACCTCTTTCTATGACGAGCTCCACAAGAATCTTTTTAATATCAAGAACAATCTGGATTTTGATGAAATCAAACATGAGATCAAGGGAGAGCCCTCCTCCCCCAGCAAGTTTGAATACATTGGTTCTCTTCCAGTCAAAATTGAAAACGTTCTTTCTGAAAACATTGATCCTATGGATACCTTTGATAGCTTTCTCAGCAACCCTGCCTACGTCAGTGATTTTCTCAACTTTGATCTTGGTATGGACGTGATCGAAGATACGAGTGTGTTCCCCACTAGTTTCTCTTTACCGGAGCCGGAGAGTTGGCAGAACCTTGATCTCAATGATCTTCTCTAGTTAGGATTAAACCGCAGAGTAGGACCGACCAGGGTTCGGATATAAATAGCTCCGGATACTGGTTTCCTCTCCTGGTTTCCCTTTATCCGAACTTAAACCAAAGAACTCCGAGGAGAATGATTGCTGATGAAACCAGAAACTAAATTTATAAACACTATTCAACAACTCAAACCAGATTACCAAGAAATTTAAAGATTTAATATTAGCTCATTATATAGTGATCTTCGTACCGGTAATTTGTGCTGCGTAACCTTCACTAAATTGGAAGGGTTCAAGTCACAACATTGCCTTAGTTGCGTCACTGCGTCAGAACATTAATTTACTAGTAGCACAAATTGCCCATTTTAATAGTATCAATTTTTCTCTACACAAAGCGGGAGCACCAAATGGTTTGAAAACTTTATATTTCCCAGCCCCGCTGCACAAATTTTTAGTTTTTAAACTTAGCTGAACATAATTTTAATTCTAAACCGACATGGATCATGCATATTACGTCCCTTTGTTTCAGCCCCACTGATAATGGTTTTAGCTAATGGTTAATTTCAGGGATGTTATTTTTTACATTTTTTAAAATATCAGATATTAGTCCGGGTTATTTTTTTATATATTTATTTGTCTCCAAACTAAATTTGTGTGAAACATATTTGGTAATGTTAGGGGTGCGCCTCAGCTAGAGGTTCCGTCCTAGGATCGATTAATGGGTCGATATAGTGATAAATTACGCAACCCTAGCCCGCCCGTTCAAATCACCACTCTACCCCCCCCCCCCCCCCTCGTCGTACAAGCTCCCTTCAACCCCACATTGCGTACATTAAAAATGTACTTAATTGTACATTTAACAAGGAAAGAGTGAGACTGATATAATAATATTTATTGTCTTTCAGTATTTTTGGGCATACACTGAACTTGGACTTATTTTTACTTTTAGGTATTATTAGAATATAAGGACTGTGATAAAAGTACTTTTATCTTGCATTTAGTTAATAAATGATTAAGTACCATATTATGATTATTATTATCCAGTTTTAAGAGAAATGTAAGAGATAAATGAAATTCGGTAAAGAAAGTAATTGAGTCTTTGCCACAAACACAAATTTTCTAATCTCTATAGTTAATTGAAGTGTAGCGGTTTAATAATAGACAGAACAAAATAATGTGCAAATAAAAATTTGGATAGATAACTTTATATAATTAAATATTAAAAATGCTGGTTTCATCTATCATTTGGTGTTTAAAAAATAGAACAAAACTTAGCTGTAATATTGGCAATTCAAATTGCGGGATAACTAGGTTCTGCTTAGCCATGTTTAAGTTCCGATATTTCTGCATAATATTGTCTGAATACCGATATATAATAATTTCAGACAATTATATGATTATCATTATTTCTGCCTCATAATGTCTGACAACTGATATTTCTGCTAAATAGTTATATGACTATCGATTTTCCTGCGAAAAAACTGTATGATTACCTATATTTTTGCTTAATGATGTCTGATTTGCGATATTTCTGCCTTATAATCGGCTGTTTATCAATATTTCTGCATATTAATGTCTGATAACCTCATAATCAACTTATTTCCGATTTTTCTGACTATTAGTGTTTGATTACCGATATTTCTGCCTGATATTTGTCTGATTACCGATATTCCTGCATATTGAGGATTTGATTACGGACACTTCTTACTATTAATGTCTGATTACGGATATATATTCATCTAAATTAACTTTATAAAATAACTAAAATAACTGTAAAATGCTAGTAGTAAGCTCAACAGTATAGTTTAGATATGTTGGAAATGTTTTGTGACAACATTCTTTTATGTTGAAAATATCTTATTATGAAGTTAAATATTTGGAAATCTACTAAAGAAATTATTGATGGATATTATGATGAGAAGGTGGGGGGGGGGGGGGGGGGGGTTGGTTGCAGATTGATTGCATATTTTACTATTCAGTATTCAGTATTCATAAAAATCAAAGAATATTGAAAAACTTGAGAAACATGAAATAGATATCTATCCCAACTATACCTAGACTCTAGCCACTTTTTAGATATCTATTCGAACTATACCTAAATAGATCTACTCTAGATATATTCAACAATTGATCTTAATGAATTTTTTTTAAATAAGAACGAAAGAAGGGTTTTTCGATTTCAAATTTTTTAGAATTTTATATCAAATTTTTACAAAAGCATGTAAAGGCGTAAATTCAAGTGAATCTCCATTTGTAGAGTGGCGTGTCTGATTCACAAGAGAACCCATTAAACTTATTCGTATTAGTCTTCTTAAACGCTTTTATTTAAGAAATATCAATAGTTACTTTCTAGAAGTGACAGAAAATACATATTTACTTAGTTAAGCTGTTTTGAGTTCATGCATGCCCTACGCAGGTTTTACAGCAATTCAACTGCTATTCGAGAGATTTACACGCAGAGTTCGTTCTCCTCAATAAACAGTCAAAGGTTTAAAGGGTACCGTTGTAAATCGGGCATTGCCCTCTTTGCATGGAGGGTCACTTTAAATTACGCTTACAGTCCCTTTAAGAGGAGATTTACTAGTGATGTTAAATTATCAATGTTATTGAGAGTACCTCTATTTTAAAGCTATTTAGTCCATTAAACTTATTTAAATTTCCTATTCAATTCTCCATAAAACAGTACGAAGTTCTCCAGACCTATCAACTATATCTCATCGTAATGGATCAGTATGGATCCAATTCAAGAAAATGGATCGAATTCAACTAAATATCCTGGATTTATAGCTAGACTCACAGGTCAATGCTGGGTGGAAAAATGGCTGGATAAAAGTGATTTATCGAACCTTACTCCACCAGCTGGCTGGCACTGCCAACACTGATTACAGGCCCTCGGACCAAATTCTTGAATGTTTAAAACACTGAAACTAATTCCAATAAATGAGTTTGGTAAAAAGTGGACAATTCTTAGACGCAACCCCTGTCCGCCATTTATTTCTTAACCAACAGGTTTGTTTGAGTATATTTTCTGGATAAGAAATGCAGGGTGCAGGGCGCGGTTAAGAGGGCCCGAATCTAAGATATATCTGTATAGAATGTGGTGGTATGCGATGCAGTAATAAATCTGCTTTTCTACACATAATTATATTTTGGTAAAATACAAGAATCAACCGAAATTAATGAATCCTACTATTTTTCTTAATTTCAAAATTAAATTTAAAATTATATTTTTTCTCGTTAACATCTATAAATTACCCCATATTGTTGTAAAAAATATATAACAAGTTTTTATTCAAGCTCTATTTTTCACATTTCATTTTGTTTAAACTGAACAGCCAGCATCCCCTATTAACAGGACTTAAAGGAGACCGGATCTATTTTAAGTTCTCAAAAAATCATAATTTTTGAGGAATTCATAAATCTTTTTCCCCCGACTTTTCCCTAAAATAGGTCAAAGATTGAGTATAACGGGGTCCGAGAGGTTTAAGGGTATCAATTTAGGAATGTTGGAGAGCTTTAATTCTCACATTTTAAGACTTTTTAGTGAGTAAAAATCTGGGTGATAAGTTAATAAAAATATTTTAAAGATTAATTTTCCTTTTTTCTTCAGATTTAACTTGTTTAGGAAAACAACAAGTCGAAACATATAATTTTTCTCCAAATATTTTCGCTCAACATTAAATTATGAGATAGGCTGGGTTCAGGGCTTTATATACTTTCACAGATAAAAAGGAGGGGTGATATTTTCTAATGTTTATATCTTTTATCTTTATATATTAGGTTGAATATCTCTGTTTGTTTGTTTGTATGTCCAATCGTAACTCAGAAACCCATTAACCGGTTTGCCTCAAATTTAGTTTGGAAACTAGGTAGAACCATGTCCTAAGCTTGATTAGAAAAAGTTAAGTTGATTAGGTTGGCTTTCATAGCGTAAGCTTAGTTTCTAGGCAAAACTGGGTACCCAAGATAAAGTTGCATTACTGCAGCTAGCAATGCAAACATTGCATCCTTATATATTAATTATTAACGTATCTGTATTATTAGTATTAATTATATATTTCGTAATATATGTACGTTTCCATACATCTACCTAATTACTTAACAGGATGGCATAAAAGGTTAATTTTATTATTAAACACTTTTTCTGATAGAATGTTTACTAATCTTTACTATTGACTGCACAATTTCAAGAATGCTTAAGCTTAAAATTGTTATGATAATAATAATACCAATTACACTAATAATATACAATTAAGAATAACTATAATAATAACAATATATCAGAAAATGTGCGTAAAGTCATTAAAGAGTTAATAAACAATAGCATAATTCTTGGAGTTTAATTGTGTGATGAAATAATTATGGACTAATATTAAGATTAAAGTTTAGTTAGAGAGTATTGTAAGGTTGGCTCAAGTTAAACCTCTAGATAATATTGGTTTAGGTTAAAAAAAACCTAGGTTTAAGAGTGGACAAAAGTACTGAAGGTAATTAAGTATCTGAAGAGGGTTCAGGTTTAGTATGGGATACATAATCAACCCTGGACTTAGAGACTGGATTATCGTCTAGTTTAATACTGGGTGGTCTCTCATAATAGAGTCCTAAGTTCTTAACTATCTCTTTCTTTATCCATCTATCCATCCAACTCTCTATCTAACTATCTGTTTTCAGACCATTTAACCATAGAACCAGGCCCTGGGCCACAGGCCTAATATGCCTTATAGGCTTGCATTATGTGTACTTCGGGTTCTATCTCAAACCATTAATATAAACCTGGGAACCTGGTTTTATGAATTAAAATATCATTTATTCGCCATTCCTCTAGCTCTAGCTATAACATTAGATCTAGCAATAGGTATGTTTATAGTTCTAGCTCTAGCTACTTTATTCCTCTAGCTCTAGCTATAACATTAGATCTAGTTCTAGGTATATTTATAGTTCTAGCTCTAGCTACTCCATACTATAACCCTACACACATACTATAGCCTAACACTGAAGTCTAGTTCTACATATTTCTTTGCTCAAGATGTAGCTTTACATCCAGATCTGCCTCCAACCTAGCTATTCGTCTAACTCCATGTCTTGTTTATAATATCTTGTACAATGTAGGTTTAGCTCTAGCTTAGATCATTGTATCTAGTTCTAGCTCTAACCCTAGAGTAGGAGTTTTCGAACCCCTCCCTCTCTCTATATATAATATCATTATCATCTTGAAAATTCATTAAAGTAGAAAAGTATTTCAGAATTTAGTGAACAAGATCTTAAAGTTAAAAATTGTCCTCTTTCAAGCTTTAGCTCCACCTTCTACTCTAACAGTTTTAGCTTCAACTCTACTTCTTACTCTAGATACTAACTAAAAGAGGTTTTTGAGTAGATTCCTTTGCTGACCACTGATAGAAGAGTAGATCCCTCCACTGATTTATCATTAGAAGTCGAACTGAAGCCTGAGGAAACTCTGAAATCGGAAATTGGGAAATTAGGATCATTTAAACAAATTTGACCCAACACATTAAAGGAGGAGGTAGGGGTGGGATGGGGGGAGGGAGAAGGGTTGAATGAGTAAAAGATGAACACAAAGAAAGTATAAACTTTAAGGAGGTGGTATGAGTACGTGGGGTAGAGGGGGGGGGGGTAGAACAGTTGAATGAGTAAAAGATAAACACAAAGAAAGTATAAACTTTAAGGAGATGGTATCAATGAAGATTAAATAAATAAGCAGAAATGGTGAAAAATAAATTCGTAAATGGAAACATTACCAACAAACTGAAAAATAGAAAAAGAACAAGATCTAGATAATGTTAGTTTTGAATTTCTGAACACGCCCGAAAGAAAACTTGGGAAGAAGAAAGTGAAATAGATAGATAGATTCATAATCTTACACTTAATCTTATTGTGTAAAACAATTTCTACTTATTTCTTGTTATTCTGGAAAGATTAAAGATTATCCAGTTCTACATAGTTTCCACGGGGTTCAAGCATTCCTTCTCTAGGTACCCAGAGTAAAAGGACAGGGGAGAAGCATTC